GCCATTATTTCCTATTGAACCCAAAATATTTGGTTGTACTTGTTTTGTTCGTGATGTTCGTCCACAGGTAACTAAATTAGATCCAAAGGTCCTTAAGTATGTGTTCTTAGGGTACTCACGTCTTCAGAAAGGTTATCGGTGTTATTCTCCAGATCTCAAAAGGTACTTAGTGTCTGCCGATGTCACATTCCATGAAAATTATCCGTTCTTTTCTTCATATGTTTATAACAGTCCCGAGGAAGAAGATGATACTTTGGTCTACACTGTCACACATCCGNGTTGTATAGTAGGTGTAATACAAGTTGTGTAGCACATGTATACACATGTACTACATCATAGCTAGCACATGTATATGAGTTGTATAGTAGGTGTAATTAGGTGTATGACAACTAATAGATTAGGTGAATTAGTATTATAAATAGGCCTTGTAATCTTCTCTTCTAGATATGAAATATAGAACTTCTTTGGTTTCTAACACAACACAAGCTAAGTTGCTCGGACTCTGGTGCGGGTATCCGATACGGGGACGGATCCGAGTATCGGATTCGGCAAAATCTAAATTTTAAAATTCGGGGGTGCGGATCTGGATCTGGATATGGATACGGGTGCGGGGATTCGGCTAATAAAAAATAGAGCTATAAAAATATTGTAAAGTTTGAGAGATATTCTGTGAAAAACTTACATGAATATTGTAGAATTCAATCTTTCATTCTCCTAAATTTGTTTTATTTTTGATTTTGAGAAATCAAAATCTCAATTTTCCCCCCAAATTTGTCGATGGACTTCGGTCAAAGTGTCCAAAGTCAGTTGACCGAATCCGGGACGTATCCCGTCCCTGTCTCGTATCGGGACGGGGACGGCACTAAAATCGAAGAGTCCGCGCAACTTAGAACACAAGTACGTACCTTAGTTTACCGTTCATTTTAGCTTAGCTAATTTGGCCACCTATTATTACAGTGTAGTCCTCCAAAAATTCTTATCACTTTCATTTTATTTATTTAATATGAGTTGGAATGCCCTAGACTTAATGTGGATATATTGCTATGCCAGAAGGCTGAACTCTTGCCTTTTAAATTTCTACTAGTTTCCAGGAATGTGCCTGCATCGTACATTACCTCAAGCTAAATTTTGAGCTGCAAAAGTGAATTTTGCACAGATAAGAATCAAGTGGGACAAGCTGCTCTCTGTGTTCCACCAAGATGTTCTCTTTGAGATAGCCACAGAGGAATTTTTTATTGGTCTGCACAGAGCATGCTCTCAAGTGTTTCTGTCCATGCTAGTCTGAAAGCTGCCAACATGAATTATCAAGGGCTTGGCAAATGGACGATTGGCGATTGACTGTCAAATGTACCTTCTTGTAATTCAGAACTTTCACATTTGTTCTCTCTTTAAGAAATCAATGTTATTAATTATTTGTTGTAGTTCCAATTTTTAGCGGTGTCAGATACCTTTTTCTCTAGATGAGGTTTAGTGTAGTGAGTGCCAATGTGCCAAGTTGTATGCTTCTCGTTCCCTTTTTGTGGTCTGTGAATCTTGGTAGTTGTGTATGAGCTGCAATGATATTCTTCTCTTTCTTTGTCCTGCTACTTGGATGTTGACCTCAAGGATTTATAATTTTTCTGACAAATTGCATTGTTGATTTATTAGTCACAGGTCATAAACTTGTTCTAGTATCATCATACATTAGCCTTTGAATTTTGTTAAGCAAGAATGAATTGAAATGCATGTTCTTTGACTTGCAAGTCCAAGAGAAGGCAATAAAAAGGATATCCACATGCTTTTTTCCATTAAATTCGGATTTAGATGAGGTTTACGTAGTCGGCGGTTGCGGTAAGTTGACCTTCAGTATTAGAATACTCATGATATGATAAATTCTGTGAGACATTGAATGAAATATGTCCAAAAGGGCGAATGTAGTGAAGTAAACAGTGTCCTAATTAGTTTGGAATTGAGGCACAATTGATGTGTTGATATGTATTAGTAACAAGGAGATCATAGAAGGTCAGTTTTGAACTTTTGGTCTTCATTTCTTATCATTATTACAATCTTTTTTGCCCTTTTTCATGACATTTGTGCGTGCCTCCAGTTTTCATCTCAAAAGCAGAGCCTGAGAATGGTGCTGCCTGAGCCTTGCCATATTGCGCTTTAAGAAACATATAAGTTTGTAAGGGTGGAATAAGTAAAAAACTTAGTCTCGTTTGGTACGAGGGATAAAGGGATAAATAATTCCGGAATTAAATTTGAGATGAGTTTTATCTCATGTTTGGTTGGGACAAAATCGTGGTATAACTAATCCTGGGACAAGCTATCTCGTGATTATTGTGTTTTTTTATCCCTATGGGAGGGTGGGATAACTAATCACGGATAATTAATCACGGGATACCTTGTTTCTCAATCAAACGACCCCTTAGGCATACTTGTGTTTACACAAACTTAACAAATACATGAAATGCATTATATATATATTGTAATCAGTGAAATATTATAGTAAATAATGTTTAAAAGTGTATAACACCAGGTGTGAGTGAGATTTAGATAGTAGGCCATAAATAAACTTTTGATATTTGTTATACGTATAACGCCTTAAGCTAGCTTCACCTTGTCCAATTTGGAGTTCAATTTTGTCTGATAAGATCAATTAGTAATTTATAAAGCATGGATAACTCTCCAAGATGCATATGGAAATACTTCTCTTTCTCATACTATTTTCATAAGTATATAAGATGGAAATAGTTAATCAAGATTATATAATTACGAAACTGGGATTTAAAATTAGTCTATAATCGCTTCCTTTTTTGACAAAATTTATTTCATGATGGTTATGTTTGTGCTACCTTGCGTACACGTCTACTATTTTGTCGAGTATATGCTATCTTCTATCAGCACAAGTACTTGGTGATCTTGTCCGCAACGACTTAGACAGATAGAAAGAAATCATCTAGTTATTTTTGACTCTTCAAGAGTTTTTTTCAAGGCTTGTACTCACTTTATTGAGCACTAGCCACTAGGTTGCGATCTTGGATGCTCACATAATTGACATGGAGTGGAGCAAGCTTTGATTGAACACATCATGAGATTGTTGAGATTTGATCTTGTACACTGTTATCTGAATAGTGATATCTTGATCATTACATTGTTTGATGGGATGACTAGAATGCTCTCGCTAAATTTGATTAATGATTAACTCTCGTTTAATAAAGTTTCAAAGGTAAAATCTAACTAAGCTACCTTACAAAAGCCTATGCTCATTCTTTTCTAAATTCTCTCTAATAGAATCAGCACCTACTTCATGAAACAAATACTTATATACTAGTGCAGCTGTCACAATCACAACAAAAAGGTTTCTTGATGCACATTTTTATAACATCTGAAAGATGCTTATACTAATTAATGTGAGATTAAAAAAATTAGTTGTTAATGGAGTGAGTTGAAACTATAGGAGAATCATCTGATTTATATTTGTGCAAATAAAAAAAAAAAGAAAATAAAAAAGAATCCCAGTCCGACCTAGGTGACTTATTAAATCCCTTTTCTAATGAGGTATCCCTTCGAGATTAAGTATACTACTACTACAACAACAACAATCCAATAAGTTCCCACAAATAGGATCTGGGGAACATGTATGCAGACTTACGCTTATCCTGGAAGGGCAGGGAGGTTGTTTCCGATAGACTCTTGGCTAAAGAAAGAATGGAAAAAAGTAATGGCAACAACCAACAGGTCGTAATAACTGCAAGATAAAATAAGAAGACAAAAATCAAGAAAGTAAGTAAACATCAAGTAGTAATAACAATCTAAGAATAAAAAGATGTCATACTAACATTAATGCTATCGAACTGAGTAAACATACGGAGAACGCTGATTGTCACACTCTCCTATCAAGAGTCATGTTGTTAATAAGTTCCAGTTGCACCGTGTCTCGCCTAATCACTTTCTTTCGGGATTTCTTTGGCCTACCTCTACCCCTCGTCACACCCACCAAGGCAAGATCAAGTATGTAAAGAGTTGTTTTTAACAACAAAAGTATACTATCATGTGTCATAACTGTATTAGTCGAAATCTGACCGCTACGGTCGATCTGATCGACTTCCCGTCCAAGCGGCGAGGCAGCGAAAGACGACATGTTTTATTCTAAATCTGTGCTCATAATACCCGTCAAGTCAGAAAAGACGACGTCTAGGGGGACGACAAAGGCAGACGTAGTATGAAAGAGCATCAAACCAAGTACATAGCTGAGATTCCATAACTATATATAGGTGGCTGGGGATAGAAGAAGGAGGGGGGCGATCTCCAAGAAAATATGTAAAAGTCTCTCCTCCATTGATTAAGAGGAACCACGATGAAAAGTATCAATAAGATTGGTCACCCTCAACTCATCTTATGCATGATTTTTTCCAATTAGTTTACAGGCCTTGGAATTTATTATGTTTAACTAAGATTTACTCCTTCACTCTCTTTAATTGATTTATTAAAAAGGTTCCAATATCTTTTGAGTCAAACAATAACAGCTTGAAGGATTATTTTATCTTTCTCGTTAGAAAATAAAAATAAAATATTTTAGGCCTTTTTAAATCACCTTTAATATAATACCTTAATACAAATGAACTTCCTAGGCAGATACACCATATTTAAAGTATTTGTTACGGACTGTACTTGGAAAGAGCCATTACAATGATGATGGCAAAAATAAAAAGCTTCCAACTCTGTCCATTTTAGAACATTTCCACATGCTAGAGGGGACCAATCTCACTTAGCAGCATTGCATGTGGTTTTCTGTGCATGTCTTCTTTTATATGTCTCTATTTGTTAGTGTGGGTTTGTCGCGTCGTGACGTACACAAGATTTTTTCTAGGTATATATACATAATATTATATGAATAGTAATATTTTTCTATGATAAAATTATGTCGAATAACATCACCTAACCCTGTGTGCCTTCAGGCTCGTTTGGTACAAAAGATAAGTGTTAATTAATTTCGGAATTAAATTTGAGATCAGTTTATCCTACGTTTAGTTAGAATAAAATCGCGGTATAAATAATTCCTGGATTAGTTATCCCAAGATTGTAGTGTTATTTTTGTTCCTATTTGAGAGCGGGACAATTAATCCTGGAATAACTTTTTTCCCAATTAAACGATCTTTAAAAGTGTTTGGTTAGGGGGGGGGGGGGGGGGGGGGGGCACCCACTGGTATTTTTGCACAATTTTTTGCCGATTGTCTCGTTTTGGGACAACGGCTAAGTAAATGGCCCTCTTTTTATTTTTAAATCGCTGTCTAAAAATTCCTTTTTGAGCAAACTAAAAGTTTTATGAGAAAGATTAGACCATAGTCTAAAATTTTGTAAGTTATTGCAAATGTTAGACGATAGTCTAATATTTTGTTAGCAAAGTTGAGCAGTATATGAGCAAATGTTAGACTGGAGTCTGGCATTGTCCAGAAGTATAATTTTTAAGGGCTATATTTGCACAACCTTTTAACATAGGGACAAAATCTAAATAGTAGCCTATAAGAGGGACATTTGCGTAAATCAACCGTGTTTTGGAGGGGTTTTTCACTTTTAGCCCGTTCCAGAAACTATTTACATTCGGTAGCCGAAAAAGTGTATAAAAATTATATAATTTTTGTATGTAACATACAAAATGTATATATATACACAAAAAATAAACAAAAATATATATATATATATTTTGGCTATTATTTTGAAAGCGGCTATACAATGTATTTTTTGGTTTTGGAGAAATAAAAGTGGGCCAGGAATGAGATGACATATGGGTCTCCAACAAAGCCCATAAGGTTTCACAAAATCCAGAACAAAGTGTACCAGATATTAGCTTTTTGGTATCAAACAATAAATACAAACTAACCTTTGAGAAGGCAACTTGTTTGGTTCTTGAATCAGGTTTAACAATTTGTCCCAACCATGTCACATGGGAAACCATACACCTACAAAAGTTATACACCAACAATTATAAAAATAAAAAGTAATAATAAATGCATTATGGGATCATAAAACTTAGAAAGTCTGTGATTTTGGATATTTGGAAATGGAAGGTAAGATGAGAGAGGCAGAAATCTGATAATAGTAAGAAATTATTGTTCAAAGCAGAGCCAAAATTTGAAGTTTATAACCAAGCTTTTAGCTTATTTTAGTTGTTGGGTTTATAATTAAATATTTATACCTATTGAGTATATTTTCTATTGTGAATATAAGGTCTAAGAAAAAGTTATTGGGTTCATCCGAATATACCTTATAGCCTGTTTGGCTAAGTTTCTTAAATCAGCTTATTTTTAAAAAGTGCTTTCTCAGAAGTATGTTTAAAAAAAATACTTTTAATGAAAAGTAGTTTGTGTTTGGCTAATTAATTTGAAAAACACGTTTAGGCAACAATTAGTATTTGGTCAGGCTTTTAAAAAGTATTTCTCAGTGTTTTTTTAAAGGTGCTTTTCGAAAAAAATACTTTTGAGAAGAAATTATTTTTTTCTGCTTCTCAAAAACTGCTTCTTGCTTCTACTCAAAATTACTATTTTTTTCCTTCTAAAAACTTGGCCACGCACCTTAATTATAAAAAATGAACTTTTGGCAAAAAACGAAAAAATTTGTTTGGCTAACACTAAACTTGCCAAACATGCTATTAGACAATAACAACAATAATAATTACAACATTTAGGAACATAACTGTCTTTAGCAAATGACAGAATAAAAGGACAGTTCAGTGCACTAAGCTTTAGCTATTCACGGGGTTCGGGCAAGGAATGGACCACAAGGTCTATTATACACAGTCTGACTTTGTATTTCTGCAAGAAGCTGTTTCCACGGCTCGAACCTGTGACCTTCTGGTCACATGACAACAATTTTACCAGTTACACTAGGACTCATCTTCCAGAATATATGTGTGTCATATATATATATATATGTGTGTGTGTGTGTGTGTGTGTGTGTGTGTGTGTGTGGTGAAGTTCTTAGTTTCACCCTTGGTAACATTTATTAGGGGTATCAATGGATATTTAAAAACTGACTAAACCGTCCGAACCAAACCGGTTTTTAGGTTTCTTTTAATAAAACCGTAGGTTTTTATACAAATCTGTAACTGTACCGTTATTTATGGTAGGTTTTTTATTTTATGAAAATAAACCGAAAAAATATCGAACTGTACCGAATAAATTTACATGTAGAAATATATTTATATATTAAGTTTAAAAATAATAATGCATTAAATATTTCCTCGAACCTTTGAATTATGAGAACGGCTATAAGCCAATAAGTAATTAAATACAAAATCCGAATTCCCAAACCTATTATGCTACTCTTACTGAAACTAGCATATTCACTAGCAAGACACAAAGTATTTTAGCAATTTATGAGTAGCAAACTACAATGTATTAAATATGTTTCCTTTCGTGTAATTTGGATTTATCTTTTTGAATATTTAATCTTCTATAGACCTTTGAGTTCTAACTTGGTTGATATCTCTCCACTTGAGTGATTTATATTTTTTTTTATGTCTTTACTTAGTTTCTTTTATGATGCTGTAGAATAGTTGATGAATCTATACTTTAGCCATCATTCATGTTTTCTTAATTCATTGCCCTTTAAACAGTAAAATCTAGAGAGTTTTGCTAAGTTCTATAAAAGTATGTATGTTATTGCATTCTACTAGTAACTTTTATAAGATATTGAAAAAAATACAAAAAATGAACCGAACCGTACTGATACAGATACCGAAGAGAAACTGATATAATTGGATTGGTTTCGAAAAGTCTAATTTTGGTTATACATAATAGAATAACCAAAAAATTATTATGGGATAAATTTTATAAAATAACCGATCGAACCGAACCATTAACACCCCTAACATTTACACTAACAATAATGTAATTTGAAAAAGAAGAAGAATTTAAAAAAAAAAGTTTGAGTTGAGATCTCCGAACAAATTACACCAAATACACAAACTATAGTGACTAGATTCACGTGAGAGGGTGAGAGCTTAGTTGGCTCCTCAAGGTTTCATAAGGTTACTGATTTAATAATTAATACCTAATCGTGTCTATTTATTTAGTTTTTCTTTTTCCAAAGAATATAATGGCCAAAACATTGACATTATTGGAAAGTAATTACTCTTAAACAATTCCTTAAAAAAGGATCCAATGACTTATAATCAGTAGAGTCAGTACTTGTGTTAGACTAAAAAATGTTTTTTGTATTCTAGATGTTGGAAGAAATTTCAGATTTTGACCATAAACTTGTGGTTAAAATTTAATTTTTAATAGTATCTCAGAAGAAATGAACAAACTACTAATAATTTCTTAAAGCAAAAAGTCTAGATAAAACAAGTATATATAGAATTCTATGAGTCAATAAGAAGTACCTCATAGAATATTCACGTATAATTTCCCCCCAAAAAATAATAATAAAAGAATGTGAATTAGAAATATCTGCACATGTTAGTCACAATAATACAAAAGTGGCATCGATTTTTTTTTTTTTTTTTTTTTTTTTTTTTTTTTTTTTTTTTTTTTGAGAACCAAATCTTGAAATGGTCAGTAGGAAGAAAAAAGTCCAATTTGATTAGTTTTTGTTTATGTCGCTCGAATTCTTCAAAAAAATTATTGCACCACTGCCAGATCCTTCAAAATGGTGAAAATAGTACGGGCTAGCCAGTTTTTGGACTGACAATTGGATAATAGCCAGTGTTTGCAAAACCATTAAAAATAGCCATTATTTTGTTGCAACATGGAAAATTCTAGCATAATATACTGGAGATTGTTGCACCTGTGTATGAACTTCAAACATATTATGCTGGAACTCCAGCACACGAAAAGATCCAGCATAATATATGGAGATTGGAACATCTGTGTATGAACTTCCAATATATTATGTTGGACCAATATATTATGTTGGAACTCCAGTATATTATACTGGAAGTTCACATGTAAAAATTCGAACTCCAGTATATTATGCTGGAATATTTCGGATTTTGAACAGTATTTTTGGTCAAATTTATCTTTACATGAAAAGTGGTAAAATTTTGATTACTTTTAAAACTATAGCTATTTTTCATTTACCACTTATAAATTTGACTATTTTTGAATTTCACCCTTCAAAATGTACTGTTTTTTAAGAAATCTTATATACCCGAAATATTTTTAAAAAGTCTGAAAAATAACAAACTTTAATTAGGTGCATTTTATCATTTTCTTTTCATTTTTGTTGGGAAACTTGAAAGTCTACACAAGTTAACCACAGACAATTGAAATTGATTATAAAATAATGTAATAATGCCAAACAAAATTATTGTGTCACTTTCTACGGTCATAGGTTTAACTCATGCAGCTATATTTTAAACCATTTTGTCATTTCTTTCTTTCACAAGACATGTCTTCTAAATATAGATAAGCAAAAGAAAAAGTTAAAAATAAGCATCATCTGTAAAAGGATTGTTAGAACTTAGACTAAAGTAGAAAAATATGTTACATTAAAAAAAGGTAAAAGAATAAAAGTGAGAAGAGTGAAAATCTCGACATTACTCACACACAAAAAGTAAAAAAGAAAATACATATTCTGTCAAAGAAAGAATGACATTTTTACTACCTAGGGAGAGAAATGAATTTTCTTGATTATAAAATCTTAAATGTACTTTTAACAATAAAAAGTTAACGTATATTAGTTAATATTGCTCATTCAAAAAATATTGATTACCATATTCCTATTACTCTTTTTAGGATTATCTTATGTTAGTGTGAATGTATTTTTATACCATAGAAGCAAATTAATTAGTTTGAAGAGATTATTTATCTTTATTTTCATATTACTACTTTAATATATTATGAATAATTTCCTTTTAACATGATCAGTGCAAAAAAAAAAAGATTTTTTTTTTTACTGTCAATGTAAGATGAACAGTATTCAAAGAATACAATGACAATATAAGTAATTATTACGCAATCAAATTACTTATTAAGTAATTACATGTAAATTACTTAATAAATATTAATTAATTGTTAGCTAACCTGCTATCATATATTAAAATTATAGTGTAAACTGTAAAAGAATATGTAAACTCTCTAATATAGTATTGTGGTGGAGTGTTAAGAACTCTTCCATCCGTAACCATAGGTCTCGAGTTTGAGTCGTAGGTATGAAATCGTCTTTAGTATTAATAGTGAGCGTTTTATCCTTAAAAGTGCGACTTTTCAATGCGAATCCATATTAGTCACACTCCTGGAATAGCTTTTAATGGTGAGCGTTGGACTCGAGTTCAAGTAGTAGGTATAAAACGTCTTTAGTATTAGTAGCGAGCATTTTACCATCCAAAACTAAGACTTTTCGATGTGAATACAAATTAGTCGAACTCCTAAAATCACCTTTAATAGTAAGTATCAGACTCCAAAGCGAGTACCGAATATCCGACATAGAACCAAAAAAACTTTTTTTTTTTTAAAATTAGAAAAAAAAAAAAAAAAACACTCCTCAGAGGTGATGTTTCATTGGCCATGCTGGGTCCCAGTGCAAGGCTGCTGCACAAAGAGAAAAAGCATTAAAGATAACGCACGCGCTTTACAGTAACACTGGCAAAGGCATTTTCGTAATTTAAAACAAAATCCAGGGGCAAAATGTTTGAATCTAAATACAGAAACAGCAAACAACAGTAAACAGCCAGTGGGGGGAAGCAGAGATGATAACAGCAACACAAACCCAAAAGTGAAAGAAAGAACGAAAGATAAATCTATATCAATTCTAGAGAGAGAAACCCTTTTAATATCTTAACCTGAATTTTGATTACTCACTTTCTCTCTCTAGAAACCCCTCACCCAAAAAGATCTTGCTTTTATCGATTTTTCCAGGTAAAGTTTCAATTTCTTTGTGGGTTTTATTCATATTTGTTTTTTTCAGGTAAAGTTTTAGGTTTAATTTGTGGGTTTTATGCATATTTTGTATTTATTAGGCTTAATTTATCGATTTGGGTATCATTATGCTGAATTTGATTACTTTCTCTCTCTAGAAACCCCCCTGTTGTTACCCAAAAATATCGCTGTTATCGTTTTTTTCAGGTAAATTTTTAATTTTTATTTGTGGGTTTTATGCATATTTTGTATTTATAGGTTAATTATGTTAGATTTGGGTATTTTTATGCTGAATTCTGTTACAAAGAAAGATGTAATAAAGCTAGATCGATGAGTGTGTAATGCCCCTTTTCAATTTAATTTTTTAAAATAATTTCCTAAGAAGAGTGAAGAAGCTTGAAGAAGGAAACTGAAGATATCTAACTTCAGTTTTGAGAATCAAATCTACATATTTAGAAGTTGCATAAAAAGTACTATAATTAGGAAAAATTTCTTGATTTGAGAAAAAATCATGGTCAAAGTCTCAAATAGAATACTAGTTAGGACTTCAAATAGTAATAATGTCCTTTTTTTGGGCAGACAAGTATTTATTTTGGTCTTTTTTTGTTGGATTCAGATTTCAGCTTAATTATATTGGAGTTCAGGGCATATTGGTGTTTGTGTTTCAGCAAATTGAGCTTGAAACTTGCAATGCTGTAATTGGTAAAGTATATGAGAGCTGAAGGTGATATCAGTCAAGAAAAATCAATTCTTTAATCTTGGCAGAATTCCAAACATTTCAATTCTAGTTGATTTAGTTGACGATGAGCATCAAAATAGTCAAATATGATTTGAAGAGAAAGATGGGTGAAATCTAGGTTATTCCAAGAACTTTGGAAAGGAAGAAGAGAGAGTCGAAGAGAATTCAATGGAAGATTTGTCCAAGTACGTTCATAGTCCAGCTCATTTGGCTGTGGCTAAGCGAGACTATGCCACTTTGAAAAGGATAGTTGCTGGCCTTCCTCAATTGGCCAAGGCTGGTGAAGTGAACACTGAGACGGAGTCTCTGACTGCTGAGATTGATGCAGATGCTGTTTCTGCAGTAATTGATAGGCGGGATGTTCCTGGCCGTGAAACCCCATTGCACCTTGCTGTTCGGATAAGGGATCCTATCTCGGCTGAGATTTTAATGGCTGCAGGAGCCGATTGGAGTCTTCAAAATGAGAACGGTTGGAGTGCTCTCCAGGAAGCCGTGTGTACAAAGGAGGAAAATATTGCTATGATTATTGCTAGGCATTATCAGCCTCTTGCCTGGGCCAAGTGGTGCCGCAGACTTCCTAGGATTGTTGCCTCAGCTGCTCGAATTCGTGATTTCTACATGGAGATAACCTTTCACTTTGAGAGCTCGGTAATACCATTCATTGGACGGATTGCCCCGTCAGACACTTACCGGATTTGGAAACGGGGTTCTAATCTTCGTGCGGATATGACTCTTGCAGGATTCGATGGGTTCCGCATTCAACGTTCAGATCAAACTTTCCTCTTTCTTGGAGAAGGGTATTCATCCGAAGATGGGAACGTATCTTTGACTCCTGGTTCTTTGATTGTGCTTGCTCATAAGGAGAAAGAAATTACAAATGCATTAGAGGGAGCTGGTGTTCAACCATCAGAAGCTGAAGTTGCCCGTGAAGTGGCTTTGATGTCTCAAACAAATATGTATAGGCCAGGAATAGATGTTACTCAGGCGGAGCTTGTTCCCCACATAAACTGGAGGAGACAGGAGAGGTCTGAGATGGTTGGTGCATGGAAGGCAAAGGTTTATGATATGCTTCATGTTATGGTTAGTGTAAAATCAAGGCGTGTTCCTGGTGCTATAACCGATGAGGAGCTCTTTACTGTGAATGATGATGACAAAATAGTGAATGGGGGCGAGCGTGATGATTATGATGATGTATTAACAGCTGAAGAACGACTGCAGTTAGATTCTGCTCTTCGGATGGGCAATGCAGATGGACCTGGTGAGGATGAGGATTTCCATGGAAACTCTGATGGAGGTTCATTTCAGAGCTGTGAATCCAATGGTGTTATGAAGGAGAAGAAGAGTTGGTTTGGTTGGAGCAAGAAAGGCTCCAAAGATACTAGTGATGATTCAGGGGATTCAAAGCTTGTAAAGAAGTTTTCAAAGTTGGCTCCAGAGGATAGCAAGCAGAGACCAAATGATAGCCACGGATCATCATCCGAAATTCCTCGGGAGGATACAGGGGATGTCAAAAGGAGCAAAGATAAGAGCAGCAAGAAGAAAAAGAAGAAAGGAACCGTGGGCGAGTCAAAGACCGAAAGCGAGTATAAAAAAGGATTAAGGCCTGTTTTGTGGTTGACGCCGGACTTCCCCCTCAAAACAGAGGAACTCTTGCCATTGCTTGACATTCTAGCCAACAAGGTTAAAGCTATCAGAAGACTAAGGGAGCTTCTAACTACTAAGCTACCTCCTGGCACATTTCCTGTCAAGGTACTTGATACCCTCTCTCTCTCTCTCTCTCTCTCTACCTATCTCTATTTTGTTATTCCTTGTTGAATTGCTTTTTTTTTTCTGACCTATCCCTTGTCTACTTTTCTGTGCCGGAAGAGGGGTTCTTCTATATCTCAATAACCTCATAAAAGCACTTTTGCCTGGGGTGCATGATGTCCAAGTTATACAGTGATGTGCGTCACCATGAAACAAAAAATGCCGATGCATTTACTTGAAAAGAATGGACAATCAGTTATAAGATGCATGTACTGTGTCCTTTTCTTTTTGAGACTGCTAACCTGGACATGGTTTCATTAATAAGAATCACAGGTTCAGGAAGCCTGCAGAAAGGAAAAGATAAGAATTACAGCTTTACATCATGAGATCTTTTAAAAAGATTATACAGATCTCATTGAATATGTCAGTTTTCATTTCCAAGCACCAAAAATAAGACTTGAAAGAAGCTAGATACAGATGTGGAGAGATGCGTCTTCTCGCCTTAGAAGACTCGCCTACTTTTTCCCAACCATAGATTCCAAAAGAGGAAATTTCCAATGAGTGACCACAATTTTCATCCATTTGATGAGGTAGAGTCCCTTGCTAAAATAAAATCCTTTGAGATGAACACTTGGGTTTATCTTGATAGACACACCTAAAGGTTTACTCTTGATCTTAGACTAAGTTTAAGAGATCATCTCTTAGCCTTCAGTGTTCGTCTAGTGTTTTGCTTATCTTGTTTCTTTTTTTTTCTTTTTTTTTTGTAGTCTGTCTCCTTCCATAAGTTAGACTTAATCTTTTTCAAGTTAATCTCTATGGCCATTTATCATAGTAGTCATGGTTGAATCCTAGACCAATGCCAATATTTCCAATGCTAACCATTAAAGAGATAGACCTTGGGTCTAACTCAACCCAAAAGCTAGCTCATGAGATAGGGATTGCCAAAAACATATAAGGAGAGAACAAACCGGTTCTGCAATCAGTGTTGGACACTTAACAACTCGTACACCCAAGAGTGAACTTATGGAGCATGGACAATATAACATTTTTCTTGAAAAGTCTTAACATTGGTAATCCAAGAATCATAGTTGATTTGGCTCTGATACCATGTTAAGAAAATGGACCTTGGGCCTAACACAACTCCAAAAGCTAGTTTATAAGTTGACAAGTGCCCAAGACTACTAAGGAGACTACAATCAATTAAGTAAATACTTTCTAAGAAGGAGCATTGAGTTGATTGTTCTTGTTTGTGTTAATTTAACATGTCCTGTTTTATAGGAAAAACCTTAGAATCTCTCTTTCTTTCTTGGTTCGACCTTTTCACGTCTTGGACTGTGCTTTCTTTCTCTAGTTTGTAATGATAAATGATTCTCCCTGAGAAAAAATATTGCCATTTCAATAGCTGGGGCATATCTTCTGATACATCAATTTTAGCTTTGCGTTTCCTATCACTTCACAAGCTAGTACTCTTTCTGAAATGTAGTCGTTTAACAAGAGAGCAGTAAAGTTAAAGGGAAGATCTGAAAATAAATGGATTCATCCAGGCAGTAGACCTGTATTTAATGTTAGTGTAGTTGATCAATGATCCTTATCCCAAAACAAAATGGTGTAGTTGGTGAAAGGTAACAAGTATGAATAAAAAATATATATAACCTGTAAATAGCTAGAGAATATAGTAGAAGGGCAACGTTTCTGTTCATTTGTTTTAATGTACCACTATCCAAGTGGGTGCGAAATTGGTTCCTGAAAAAGAAAATTGGTTCCTGAACTTTTTCTGTGGATCCTTCATAATGCCCCAAGAACTTGTTAAAATTGAACCCATGTGTATACAATAATTGAGCACCCAAATCCACGTGCATAGGAGAAGGTTACCTGGGTACTTGATAATATACATGTTCGCAAATCCAAGAATATGAAAATATTACTTGGGTATCTAAATAAGTGCTAGTACAGTAGTATGTGGATGGTTGTTTTTATGTAATAATGGAAACTTCGATTTTTCAAACGACTATGAGATTGCACCCTCCCTCCACCTTCAGCATGTATAAAAAGAAAAGTTTGTGTTTCAAATTTAGTATAGAACGGCAAAGAGTTTCATCGAGCATATGTCATATTCAGAGTTTTCGTGTGTGTACATCGAAAACCAGCTCTTTTTTTGACTTTTGATGTGATTGTTTCCTGCCCCTGCCTTGACAAAACTAGTTTAGTTATCACCTTTAACAAAGAAGGCATTTTGCCTGTTCATGTGGAAATCTTTTGATAATTTGTCACTCTTGTCCTGAAAAGATGCTTACAAATGGATAAACTCTGATCCAATAGGATATGTTGAGTTGTTACAGAGCATTTGAAGTAAAGATTTCTCTCTTATGGTTATAGTTGTATCTAGTGGATGGTCAATATACTTATTTGTTGATTATTATTATTATCATAAGATGTTCTATTATAAGGGATAACAAATGGTTAATGGCTTGGCTTGTGAATTGTCTATATGGCAAGTTAGCTTAAAATTGTTATATGGACTAAATTCTTATAAGCGAAAACAGAATTAAAAAATGACTCTATGCAATTTGAGATAAAAATTTCAAGGTGGTGGTGTCGTTGTAAGAAGTTATATTTGGTTTGTGGCAAGATTTGCTAGATCTACTGGAAAATCCCAGCTTTCTTAGTTATTGTCTATATTATATAGTTGGTAATGGGAAATTGTTCCTTCATTACAATTGAAAGTCTTACTTGAGATTTTGATGGATATACTTGAACTGCATTCTCATTTGACTGACTGTATTATGAATATTTCACATTACTTATAAGAGTCTGCTGCACTTCAGGTAGCTATCCCTATTGTTCCAACCATTCGAGTTCTTGTTACATTTACAAAGTTCGAAGAGCTTGAACCAGTGGACGAATTCTCAACCCCTCTTTCAAGCCCTACCAATTTCCAAGATGCTAAGTCCAAGGAATCGGATGGCTCTACATCTTGGATTTCGTGGATGAGGGGGAATCGTGATGAGCTATCTAGCGACAGTAAAAACCACAGTTTCCAGGACGAGATTGATCCTTTCCGTATACCTTCTGATTATGCTTGGGTTGATGCAAATGAGAAAAAACGCCGGATGAAAGCCAAGAAAGCAAAGAGGAAGCATAAAAAGCACGGTGCCACTAGAAATCCAGAGACTGGGCAGCAGACTAGTGAAGATGTTGAAGAATAACAGTGAGCGTATTTCTCCTCTCCTACCTACCATAGGAAGAAGAGGTAAAGCCCTCTGTTTCCCTGCTCGTGCCAAGCAAGTTGAGGCTTACATGGGGGGCATGTTTATGGGTTTGCCTCTATTATATTAGAAGTTGTTTATCTCCATCAAGCGATATTTATCTTCTGCTGTTGTTGTATCTTTATTTAATGTGAAGATTTACAAAGCATCTTTTTTCCCCTTCATAGCATCTCCAGCATGTTTGCTGAGCTAAGTACAATAGGCAGATTCGAGTTGGAGATCTTGGGGAGAGCTTACGTGATCTCTCGGACTTTGTAGAACAATGAGTGGCATACAAGTCCTATCCTTTTTTAAGATTTTTCTTTCTTTGTAGACTTTGAAAGAGGAAAGCAGTTTGTGCTTCGCCGTCTTGTTAAACAGATTAAATTTGTAAAGAGCTTTGCATTTTCCAACAGCCTAGTGCACTTGTCTGTTATTTTTTTCGTAATAATCTTGAAGTACTACTTATAACGTAATCGTCGTTCTATAATTTGAGATGTTCAATTTTTTTATTTTTTTTTGTAAATTTGTATTACAGTGGACTTTGAAGGAAAATAGAAACTGCACCAGTGGGAATCAGTCAAATGTGCTTATAATACTTCTCATATGGAAACAATCATACTCTAGTAAGAACTTTATTAGACAAGCAGGGTCAAATAGAGGACTTCCCAACTTCAAATGTTATTCCATAATAGTTTGCACTTTGCATAGAGTGGTCAAATACTGGACTTGTTACAAACATTATTGCTGAGAAAGCATCTTGACGAAGATAAAAGAGTTCGACCCCTGATAACCAAAGTCTGTATTCTTCCTAAAGCCCCCTATTGTTGGCATCTAGGATATTGAATAAAGCAACGACCAAGAGGATACTGATCTGATGGAAGCATAGGAACCAAAAGGTTATGTTAATTGTATTTTATTAGTCTAAAACACTTAAGTTACCATTACCTTTAAAATTAGAAGAAAACTAAAGAAATAGTTGAGGGAATCAAGAAAGCGTTTTCAATACTAGTCATTCTTAAGAAAGAAAAGATATGAACGATATCATTACAAGATCTAAGATTTCAACTCCAGGAAGAACTACTAGTCATTATACCTACACATTTGCCCAAGCATATAACTTTTCTTGCCTTGCATATCTTTGCTACATATAATTGAGGTTTGACACAACTATAATTTGCAACGGTGACGAGTTGGTTGGCAGCTAGGACAATGGATCCCTTTTTATTGGAACCCAAAACCGTTTGAATAAACTCAACCTTCAGACTTCAGTTATAGTCGCAGATCCAATATAGAAGCCACTGGTTCGATAAAACTCAACCCTTCCAACTTATGCGGAAAAAACGCGTATAGATATTGTTAGACGTGTATTTCAGAACGTACATTTTCAACCTAGAACCCATGAAGTCTAAATCATGGACATGCCATCCAAGACGACCAAAAACCTATTCAGTACACTGACGGTGCAACAATTTTTACCCCATCAATGTATTTTGAGCTGATGCAACAAATAGCCTGCTTTATTTTGTAGGACTGTGCAAAAATTCTTTTACACCGTCTACAAGTTGCTGTTTGCAGAAACTCCACTATGAATATGAACCATGCACTGACAAATGATCATAGGGATTTGTGGTTATACCAGGTTATGTTCAAGCTACAAAATGCAAAGCTTTCCATGCAAATGTTTTCCTCAACAAATGGCATTAGCAAAGACCCAATCATACTAGATTCTTAAAATTAACTCATAGTATATACATCAGACAAAGTCAAGTTTTAGTAACTGAGAAGATGGAGGACTACTGGTTTGAAATGTGAAATAGAGCAAATACAGAAACATAGCTTGATTGAAGACATGTCCAAATGCGGAAACATAGGTATTCAAGTTTTCTCTAACACCACACAACCGTGCTTACAACTCCAACTCGCCTGAACCTTCCTTACATTGAATATAATTCATCGCATGTTATCTCTGCGCCTGTTATACCTATTGGGTCTTATTCTGTCATTACGCTGAGGGACAGGCTCTACTCTCCTCTGTCGTTCAGGTGATCTCTGAACTATCTCTCCATTGACAAAAAGTTCAGCTGCAAGGAATGAGATAAGATCAGTGCTAGGGCAAAATCATACACATCCTTCATCAAATATATTGGAGTGAAAGAGCCAATAGAGTTAAAACTAAATACATTCGACGCATGAATCTCAGAGCTTGGCATAGAAGGCATAGGAAAAATAATACTATAACAAGACACAATCAATGTCATCTAACAGATACATTTTCCTCCTATGTACCAAAAGCAGTTTCAGTGGGTTTACTGGTGGGAGGGGAAAGGGGAAGAGAAGGATTTTCTATTTATCGGAAGCAAGTCTGAACTCTGTACTTCTCTGTTGAGAAGTAAGCCACCTCAGAAGAGGAAATCTTGAAGAAGATAGAGAAAATAGCGAGCTTGAACTCGATGAAAGTATTAAAAAAAAGACACCTTTAAAGCAGCAATTACATGGAGCACTTGAAATCTAAATGCTTCAAAATCAGAATGTTTCCAGGTTTTCACAAAATACTATCAGTTCATTAGTAGGAATTAGGAAAAAAGTAAAATCGTTTTTGACAAGTCCAAAAGAAAAATCATGGTTTGTACCGGTTTAGAGAAAATTTGATATTGTTCTGGATTTAGGTGAGCGGAGAGCAAGTTAATTAGGGGGGAATGCAAATGGGTAAAAGACAAGGTATCTTTGCAATAACACTAATGCAATAGGGGATACATTAGCCACCCGATAGATCCATACTTCTAAAGGCACGTTCTACAAAGCAGATGACTGAGTTAAAGCAGAGAGAGTTAGCATATGTTGAATTCACACATTCTTGGAATTCTTTATATCATAGTGGGTCACTTTCAGGTGATGATTAGGAACCTCATGCTCAGTGTACAATCCTTACTATTGATGACATATCCTCCCCTAATTCACTTGACACCCCACCTCCCACCCCCCAATTTCCCTTTGCCAACAGTGATGTCCGAACCAACTTGTGTGCACCTCAACTATGCCACGGGGTATCTACTACCTCCAACCAACATAGATAACGAGTAACTTCATCCACCAAGGCTCAAGCAAATTGAAAGAAATCACCTAACGTTTTAGCCTTTACTAAGATATGAATCATGGTCTCCAAAGTTTGGGCTCACTTCATTGACCACTAGAGCACACCCTTGGTACTCTCCTAATTCACTTCACATATTCGTCCTCATAGGGTAATCACAAAACTTTGATTGACAACTTTATACGAAAAAAAATTATATCATGTTAGCATTTAAATTCACAATATGACATTTCTTTATGTTTTGACTTAGTAAGACGTCCTTGAAATTTCTCCCGCTACCAATTATTGACTATATCTCCAAACAATACATACATCCTAACCCATAAAATGTATATTCTTCTGATCTTTTTAGAATGTTGTCAATGCCCTTTTCCCTTGCTTAGCTGTCTTCATTATATAAAAGAAACCATGGATGCCCATCTTCCAACCACATTCTTCATCTATTTTCTTCAAATAAGCCAACATTAATCTCAGTTTGTTGCCTCTGAATGCTCATACTGGTGAGACAACCCATAGATTTTACAATTCAAATTACTGTTTGAATTATATTTTGGACACAATTACACGTAAAGGACAAAGACAAGAATTTTAAGAAACATCTAGTAAGAGCAGACTTCTTTTATGCATTTCTTGATTCTAGCTATTGGGTCAAACTCCTACTACCTTAAGGAATATGATCTACAACTCAGAATCTGCTGCCAAACAAAGTGCAAACAATTGCTCAAAGAATATTTTGTTTTTAATCAGCAAATAGCTAAAAGAACGTTTACCTCCATAATCCTTGTATTCAGGATCAACATAGGAATCAGGCAGCACAAAGAGCACACCAGGCAAACCTATTGCAGAAAACATTTGAAGTCAATTCTTTAATATAAACTGATACAAAAAACTATTCAAATGAATGAAAATCATTTTCAACAGACCTTCCATTTTATTTGCAGTCTCCTCATCAACTTCACATCCAAAGCCAAAATACCTCTCACATGAGACATTGTAAATCTTCTTTTTTGCTTCCTCTTCGCTACACATTCAAATTAGAGACTACATGAATAGGTATAATAAAACTACTATTACTACACATCAATCCTAACTAGTCAGGGTAGGTTATATGAATCCTCAATAACAATTCAGCTTCCCGTGGGCCTTTTTCATTCCAATACTTAATACACTTGAATAGCTAACTAGTCCTAGGTTATATGAATCCTCAATAACAATTCAGCTTCCTGTGGGCCTTTTTCATTCCAATACTTAATACACTTGAATAGCTACATGAACAGAAAAGCACAAATGAGTTATCTAGACACATTTATACTCCTTCCATCCACAGAAAACTAAAAACGCTACTATTGGAAAGTCAAAACAATTTTCTTTTGGATGATGGTAGTGTCCGGCTAACTTGAGTGCACCTCGACATTTTCGCTGGGCACCTGCAACCTCCCACCAACCCAGGTGTTGGGTAACTCTGCCCACCAAGGCTTAGGCAGGTAAGAAGAAATCACCTACTAATATTTTTTTGCCTCACCTGGAATTGAACCTGAGACCTTGTGAATCTCCTCCTAATCAATGGCTACTAGGCCACATACTTGGGGGCAAGTCAAACAACTTTTTTATAAAATATATATCTTAAACATTTTCAAGTAAAAAAAAATTAAGGTATATCTACTTTTATATAGGCTGAATATGTAGGTTTTATTTGAAAAAAAACTGATATTACATCAGTTAATCCTCATAATCAAAGATCCGCCACTTATTACAGAGGGAGTATTTTCTTATTACCCTTGCAATCCCTTTTTAAAATTTTAAGATTCAAAACAACTTTTTTAAAACATATTCAAGTAAAAAATATTAAGGTATATCTACTTTTATATAGGCTGAATATGTTAGGTTTTATTTGAAAAAACTGAAAACTAGATTAGTTAATCCTCACAATCCAAAATTATGACATTAACTACACAGGGAGTATTTTCTAATTTCCCTGCAATTCCTTTTCAAAATTTTAAGATATTTCTAACATTAATAGTTCATATTTACATAGTTTCCACATATGTAAGCTTTACTTTTTTTTTTTAGAACAACTACTAACTCGGGCTGAAAAACAATAGCTGTAATTTTTTAAGGACGATAGGAATATGCTATTTTTGCTTTGTAAGGACTTCAGCTAGGGTCCTTATCAAAAAAGGGAAAGTTTTTATTACCTCCCGAGGACTTTAGCTAGGGTTTCAATGTAACAATGCATCATTTGCTACATTTATTGCATATTTTACATAGTTTCTACACATAACTTTTTTTATAATTTAACAATTAACTCCGAAAATTAGATG